TTAGTGCATAGTATAGGGATTCGAGATACATCTACAATGTATATAGATAAAAAGTTTGATGGTGGTACAAGTTTCAGTATGTGAAAGATTAGAATGAGATCATCCCTAGTACTACCAAGTTTGTGGTGGGCAATTGGAGAAAGATATCATGAGGGTATGAAAGAGTAAAAAAAAAAAAACAAGTATGCAGATAGAGCCTTATGTGTGATTTTTATGAGTGTCAATGACAATGTTCTGCGAGAGATTGCTGAAAAAATTTCAGCTTCAATTGCGTGGAAGAAACTGGAAGACTTGTACTATGTAAAATCGTTGACAAACTGTCCTTATCTGAAGAAAAAATTGTACAATTTCAGAATGAGTAAAAGTTTGTCCATCAAACAGCACATTGATGAGTTTAATTCTTTAATTATTGACCTAAATAATATAGATATTAAGATTGAAAAAGAAGATTAGACATTGATTGTTTTGTGTTCATTATCATCTTCTTATGATACTTTTTTTATACTCTACTGTATGAAAAACTAGTATTTCACTAGATGATGTTAGCATCACACTAAAATCGAAAGAGTTACAAAAGAATTTTACTGAGTATAGAATAGAATGAGAAAGTTTGGTAAGTAGAGGAAGGACACAAAGAAGGGGTAAATTAAAATCTAAAGGTAAAAAGGAAAACTGTTTTGAGTGTGGGGAGAATGATCACTTTAGGAGATATTATCTTATGTTGAAGAGAGGAAAAGAGCAGAAGAACTCTACTAAAATAGTCGACATGAATAATTATGATGATAGTGATAACAATAGTGTTGGGATAGTTCTATTTGTGAATTCATATCATAGAAAGAACTCATGAATTCTTGATTCTAATGTTGCATTCCACATGTGTTATAAGCATTAGTTTGCTACTTACAAGTAGATGAGTGGTACCGTGTATATGTGAGATGATAATTTATTTTCTGTAGCTGAGATTGGTAATATCAAATTAAAAATATTTGATGGTATCATTAGGACTATTAAATGTTGACATCTTCCTTAGATGAAGAATAATTTGATATCTCTTTCTACATTGGTGACTCAGGGTTACAAATATCATGTAGGGAATTGTACTCTTAAAGTGTGTAAAGGCTCTGAGGTACTCATGAAAAACAGTTTAGAATCTAAACTGTATGTTCTAAAGGGAAATATAGTTTCAGAGGAAGCTGCTGTAGCATTAAAGAACAGTAATTAGAATCAGTTGTGACATCTATGTTTGGGTCATATGAGTGATAAAAGATTATATGTTTTAAGCAGACAGTTTGTTGAATGGGTATAAAGGAGTTTAGGGTTTTTGTGAACACTGTGTTTTTATCAAACAGATCAAAATGAAATTCAATAAAAAGGTAGTGCACAAGACTATAAATAAGTTGGATTTTGTTTATTCTGATGTATGAGGTCCATACAGAGTGGTGCCAGATACTTTATGACATTGATTAATGATTACTCTAGAAAGGTATGAGTGTATTTTCTAAAATCAAAGAAAGAGACATTTTTAACATTTTTTATATGGAAGATCATGATTGATAAGCAAACAGAGAGGAAGATCAAGTGTCATAAGACTGACAATGAGTTAGAATTTTGCAATAATGAGTTGATAACTTCTGCAGTACGGAAGGTATAGTGAGACACCGCACTTGTGTTGGGACATCATAACAGAATGGTATTACAGAACACATGAATAGAACACTTTATGATATGGCACGAAGCATGTTGTCTCATTCAGGTATGAGACATGAATTTTAGGCTGAAGCTGTGAATACTGATAGTTTTGTGGTTAATAGATCTTCATCCACAACTATTGAAAGTAAGACTCATTTTGAGATATAATCTGGGTCACATGTTGATTACTCTCAGTTGAGAGTATTTAGTTGTCCTGCTTATGCTCATGTTAGAGATGGTAAGCTTGAGTCGAGGGCAAAAAAGTGCATATTTTTTATGTCTGCATTTGGAGTGAAAGGTTATATGGTTGTGGGGTAGTGATCTCAAGTCTTCAGGGTTGATTATCAGCAGATGTGTGACATTTAATGAGTCTGCTTCATTAGATAGTCAAAAAGAGAAGACAATAGTAGAATTAGATCATGGTGTCAGAGAACAAGCAAAATTAGGAGTTCAATCCGATGGTCCAAAGAATAAAGTGCATGATCTTAATCAAAAAGTTGATAGTGCACCTGATCAACAATAACCATATAGTATTACAACAGATAAAGGAGAAAAGACAGATCAAACGACCAAAGAGGTATAAGAATCCGGTTGTATATAACTTGTCAATTATGGGAAGCACCAACAGTGGCAAGAAAATCTGCGCAAGGGCTCCGCTATCTCAGAGGGAGGAAAGAAAAAAGGTTCCAATTGATTTACAAGAACTAAGTAGTTCAAATGCTAATAAGACGATTTGTGTTGTGTATGAAGAACTTGATGACAAATGTCATTATGTTCAGGGATCAGATAGTAAGTTTAGGTGCGACCTAAACTTTGCTGGTGTATGTGATACTCAATAGCGCCGCAGTGGGGGCATGTTGGCAGGATGGTGCGACAAAATAGTTAACCGCTTTGATGATAGAGAAAATTTAAGTCAATGAGAAGATTTATTGATGTCTTGAATTTTGTTGATATTTATCTATATTTTAGAGATAATTTATTTGAATTTTCTTTATATTTATCTTGAGAAATATTTTATGTATATCCTATAAAGTTCTTATTTATAGAAAACTCTGCTAGTTTCTTTATAAATAGGTTTGCTAATCTATTGATGATGTACTCTCATATTATATAATTGAATTCTTTCTTGCTGATCTTGTCCGTGAATGTAAGCATACTGTCAAATCATGTAAAATACTTATATTCTTTTATTTATGCTTTTACTTGAGTGTGATTGTGCATATTTTAAGAATTAATTTTTTCCAACAAACATATATTACTAGGATATTTATGCTAAATTTGATTCATTTTTATTCAATTAATGGCTAATTTATAATTAAATATGTTATCAAAATTAATATATTATAGTTAAAATTTGGGAGTTAAGAATTTTGTGAAAATTTGGCAGTTAATTCGAGGGAAACGCCAGGAGTAACATCTAATTACGAGAACACCCTTCTAAATTGAACTATTCCCGGGTTTCGACTTCAGACGGAGGTCACCGAGCTATGTCCTCCAACAGGGCCTGATAGAAACGGCAACGTTTTTCTGTTCCGCGTCGAGTGAGATCCAATTTTCATTTGAACGATCTCACCTCTCGGCCTCCATCTCCTAGACGGATTTCTTACAATTCAAAAACGCAACAAATTATTTTCAGTAATGGTAGATTTAATTCCTAGTAGATCTCCTGTTGCCACATCCCGTCTTCTCTCTCGTTGACAATAAGAAAAGGTACAACCATTATCTCAATTTCTGGTCAAGTAAATGTGCTGAAATTTATTTGATTTCATAGCTGAATTGAATCGGGAATTCCTGTATATTTAACATTTTTTCTTTGCTTATAAACATGAGATTTTTGTTTAGTTTGGATCTTAGGGTGTTGGCATGTGTTTGCAGTCAACATTTTCCTAATACCAGTGAAAATGGAGTTGTTGCTAGATTTCGCATAACTTCGATGGGATGTGAACTCTAATTTTGTTGTATAAAAATACGGTTATTAGTGAGCTGTTGTTTACTTTTGTTAGTTAGCTATTTAGTAAAATAATGTGCAAAACTTAGGTATATATGAATATACAATGATTCTTGTAAATGTAAAATTCAAAAGTTCTGGAAAATTGAATTTCTTTTTCTTTTTTTAAACATATTTTTCCCCTTATAATAAGCAATTTTGTTCTCTGTTGTTAGAAATGCTGGTTGGTCATTTGGTTATTTAAATCCTATAACCAGCTCGGACTATCTGGGCGTATATATGCTGTGGTACTAATGTAGCTTTTATGCTGGTACATAATTGTTTGCTTTGATTTATTGGTAAAAATATCTTCCCTAGTTTTTTAGTTTTGATTATAAAATCCATCAAAATGAGCTTTCTGCCAGTGTGATTGTCAGGTATTACTGCCTCTTGTCTACACTTTATTTCAGCGAGCAAAAGAATATCCATGGAGGAAAGTGAAATTAATGGAATGCCAGGGAATCAGGCCGAAGATCTTTTTAAGCTTGAGAAGCAGTCATATGACATTGACCGCATAAAGAATGGAACTTGGGCCAAAGAAAATGGACTAAATGACAGCATTCCATATTCAGAAGGGAGTCATGATCAGCTATTACAAATGGTGGTTGAACTGAAACTTCAGAATGAGGTGTTGAAATCTCAGTTTAATGGATTGAAAAATCTTCAAGCAGAACATACTAGGGCTCTCCCAAAAAGTGAGGTAGGTGGGGAGGAAAGAGGTGACTCTGTGGAGGTGAAAGATCTCCTTGAAAAGGTAGAATCTTTGAGTAGGGAGCTTCAGGAAGAAAAACAAACACGAACTGCAGCAGAGGAGGCTCTGAAGCATCTTCGAGAGGCACACTCGGAGGCAGATGCTAAAGTCCAGGAACTATCTACCAAACTTGCTGAAGGTTTGATGCCCAACTATTTAATAGTGAAATGTTACTTTCTTTTGATATGCAATGGAGGATTTACTTTATGCTAATAATGATGCTTCCTCCTCAAATAAAACTTAATTTGGCAATCATGGCTGGCATTGGAGGTTTGAGGACTTTTAGTGTTGTCACTTCCCTAAAAGAAGGACCATCACTTAGTTTACCTTTTTTGAGAATATAACTTTGTCTTGACCACAGTTTATTTCCTCCGAACATATGCAGTTCATCAGGAAGTATTTACTCTCTCTCATCTGAATATGATGATGTTCTTCATGTAGCTCAACAGAAATTGGATCAAGAGATAAAAGAGCGTGAAGATAAGTATGCTGATCTTGACTCAAAATTTAGCAGGCTTCACAAACGAGCAAGACAGCGCATTCAAGACATTCAAAAGGTGAATTCTACCTCTAGTTTTTCCCCTTATTTGCACTTCATAGCTATTTTAAATTACCCATGGAATATCTTGTTCCATTCTGAGGTAAATTACCATAATGAACTTGTCTGGAGAATGTTGACGTTTATGTTGGTTTTCTGGTTTTTAACTTAATGGCTAGATTGGAATATTCTCATTTGTGATTGGGTTCCTATTGACATTTTTGGAAGAGCCTTAATTAGTTGAATGAAAGTAATAAACCACCATGTTTCTGTTGCTGAACATTAAAAATGAACATATAAAAGCATGTTATCTATATTATGTTTAAAATCGTATATGAATATAGTTTAATTATTTTTTGGAGACTTTCATTCTAGGAAAAAGATGATCTTGAGGCCCGATTTCATGAAGTGAACGAAGCAGCTGAACGAGCATCATCTCAACAGTCCACTCTGCAGCAAGAGCTGGAGCGCACAAGGCAGCAAGCAAATGAAGCATTGAAAGCAATGGATGCAGAGAGGCAGCAACTAAGAAGCACAAACAATAAGTAAAACCTCAAACGTGTGATTGATAATGGTTCTTTAAGTGGACATCTTACTGATTTTGTCTCAATCCTGCTCTAGAACTTGGGTTGAGGCTTTCACTGCTATGATTTCCATGTCCTAATCATGCTCTGATAAAGCTGTTTCAATATTCTCTTCTAGAATGTGATCTTTTCTATTATATACATTTTTTTTTTGAAAAAAAATATTTGCTTTGGCATTTTAGTCATACCATTTTCATACAGACTCCGGGACAACATTGAAGATCTGCGTCGCTCACTGCAACCTAAAGAACATGCTCTCGAGGCATTACAGCAGTCACTTTTGGAGAAGGAACAGGTATTAGATAGTTATGCTCATTCAGATGCTAATTTGCTGTAGCATTATTAGTTTTTTTATAATTACAGGACTTGAATAAGGCTATTCATTCAAAGTTAAGCTGTTGGATTACGTTAACCCTGTATGTCATCTTGCTTGTATGTGTTTATTCATGCACGTATTTTTTCCTACATTTTTACTTTTTTAAAAAACTCAAATCCATCTTACAACCACAAACAACTCTAACATACAGTTGAAAATGTTTATATTCCTGTAAATGATGAAAGTTGTATTGCTGTGGCATCTTTTCTTGATAGTTTCCTACTGGATTCACTTTATGTTTCTCCAAATTTATGCACCTACTTTTTCAAATTGTTTTTCAAATCCATCTTACAATCACAAACAACTCTGACATACAGTAGAAACATATTCCCGTAAACGATGAAAGTTGAATTGCTGTGGCATCTTTTCTTGATATTTACCTACTGGATTCATTTTATGTTTGTCTAAATTTATTCTTCCAATTGTTATTGTTACTAGTTGGACCAGAATCATGTTGTAATTTTTGGTTCACTTCATAACATATCATATAGATTTACTATGTACATCATGTGCCTGTGAAGAATATCTAATTTGTTGCCATCATGTTGTGGTGTTCACATTTCAGGTTTTGGAAGACATGCGAGGTTTATTGCAAGCAGCAGATGAAAGGAAGCAAGCTGCAGTTGCTGAGCTATCTGCTAAACATCAAAAGGTAATCCAGCACTAACATGCAGTGATTTGGTTCTTAAAGAATTGATCTTCCTCCCACCCCATACCTCCTTTTTTCTTTATTTTCTATCTCATCTTGCAAGATTGATGATTTACCTATTTCTTTGATTTCTGTTTCCTTTACTAGAAACTAGAGAGTTTGGAAGCACAACTTGCTGATGCTTTATCTGATAGAAATAAAGCAACTGAAACCATATCTATGTTGCAGGTGAGATATACTAGTATTATTAGTTATATGAACAAAAGTGAAGCAGCATTTTACACATTACATGTGTTGTTCTATCTGCTTCATTAAAATTTTAACACCAAACTTACTTTCCACGGTATCTGACTTTTAAGTTGGCAATGGGAATCAATAGGTAAAGAATCAGGAGCAATTACAGATCTAAAAATTGATTATCAATGCTTTTATTTCAGGAAAAAATTCCTTTAGAAAATTGCTCCTACTGGCATGTTTTAGTGATGTATATATTTTCTAGCTTGATTTCAATCATTCTTGCCCAAATGGGTTAGAGTAACTTGTGAAATATATTTACCAGACGATAGTTGTAGAGAAAGAGTCCAAGATTTCAGAGATGGATGCAGCTTCAAGTGGTGAAGCCGCACGACTAAGAGCTGCTGTGGAAACTGTTAAAGGAGAGCTTGTTCAACGAAAAGAGGAGCATGTAAGACCAATAAATTTAG